CCTTTTTCTATGTCCTTTTTTGTTTACTAAAGTTGTCCTACATTTAACATCAATTTCAGGATTTTCATTAAATACCACAGGTTTAGATCTTTTGTTTACATACAAAGAATGTACTCTTAGATCATTTTTTGATATAGTGTCATCATAGTTTAAAGAAAATTGTTTGATAAGTAATGATTCTGGTTTCCCTTTCTCCTTGTGATTCCGACTTAGTAAACTTTCACAAGTGATGTTTTGTTTTTCCAGATATTCATTGTTTTTTTCTTTGAAATACTCAATAGCTTTTGAAATATGAGAAGGGTTTATGAATACCAATTGAGATTTAGAAACTTGTTCAGGGAGATTTTGTACGTTGTCAAAAATATCTATGTTTGCTTTTGTAGTTTTTTCTACTTCTTCCAAAATTTCCTTTTTATCAATCTCTCTTCTTTTATTTAGTTTAGTTTTTAGGTTGGTACTAAGGGTCTTGTAGACTGTTCCCTTGCCATACTTTTTCCTACTTTTGTCTTTCGGAAGGAATTTAATATCTATACCAGGTATTTCACAGGTGTTGTTATCTATTTGTTTATTTTCTGTACCTGGATTCAACATACTAGAGATATTGACTTTCCCATCTATTTTTTTATTTGCAGTATGTTTATTCTTTGTACTTTTCTTAAATGTATGTAACAAACAAATTGAAGGAGCATCATTTTCCTCTATCATAACATCTGCTATCACTGCTGTATTTAGTACTTTCTTTGGTCTCTTTAGCTCTCTTAGTGTGCTTTTCTCTTTAATTTTATTGAAATTCACATTTCTTTTAACATTGCTACTTTCATTTAGTGAGGTTTTTTTCTCATAACTAAGTAATACTTTTTTGCTCCACCCAGTATTATTTCTAGTTTGTGAATTCAGAGGATCACAATTATTTGAATCTTCTATTCTATCTTTCGCCGTATTTTTCTTTTCATTCTGAAACAAATAATCAATTTGGGATTTTTCCTTTTTTGAAACAAAAATTGCATTCTATCAGCAACTATGGTGGTTAAGACTAAAAACTTGAGAACACAAAATAGGACACTTACACATAATATTGTATGTAGTAAACTAGTCACTACCAACTAATAATCCTGCAATGTTAAACTAAACCCAGCATTCCCACAAGCAGATATAGGTACTGATATGTACACCCTAATAGCTAATCTGAATAACACACATCTGTTATACACACCCTAATCTGATAAGAATCCTAGATACTATAAGCAGGACTTGATTTGAAACGGTACAGTGTTGCAAGTCTCTTCTCTTTAGGAACTATTTTTTTTAAATAGTTAATGATTTTTAAAAAGAGTGAGGCATTGGTTTCCATTTTGTTACCTTAATATCTAGAAATCAAACAAATAATGTATGCAGAATAAAATTAACAATAATCTTGTTTTCATTGTATGTATTTATTTTTTGTTAACTAAACTTGTTTTCAATAGTTTTGTGTTTATAGCTGCAGTAAATTATATTTGATATTATGAGGTATTACCTTAGCAATCCTAATGTTGTAAGGTAAGATCCTAAGGTAAGAACTCCTAATATGAATTGTATAAGCAATCCAGAGGCTAAATTGATTGAAAAATATATTTTTTACCAAACATTGTTTAGCAAAAATAATGCAGTAAACTTTTAACCACACCTCATTAAACTAAAATCATCGTAAAAAATTCAAACACTGTACATTGGAAAATTAGCTAGGTAATGGGATTTATATGCCTTGTGGTGTATTTGTTCTGGCTTGGTCAATAAATGGGGCAGACAAATAGAAAGTATCTCGTACTGTGATTGTAATAATGTTCAGAAAACAACTGTCTATTATTTTGAGAAATATATTTTGTGGATACAGTTATAGATTTTAAGATAAACATATTTTTTACATAGAACTGTAGTAGACTGTAGTAGATTTTAATCAAAATAGCTTTTAAACTTCAACCGTTACGTAAGTACAAATTAGGTTTCCCAAAATGGCCTCCCCCCCCCCTTTAACATAGTTGATTGAGTTTTACTGAAACTGTTGTAGATATATTCAACTGATAGGTATATTCAATTATTCACAGACATTTTTATTTTACAACAAAATAATTAGGAATATCTCAGACATCAAGTTATGCCAGAATTCCACAGGTTTTTATAGGAACATTTTTACTGTTTTGAATTAATTGAATATAACTTTATTCATCAATCATACAAGTATGTACATTGAATGGCGCCAGAATTCTTAAAACTGTTTAAACTTACAACATTATATCAGCTGTACAGTTCATCAAAATTATACAGTACTTTTTGTGTTAAGTAGATAGATTTTAAGCTGGGTTTTAAATTTTTTACCATCATCAATTTTCCTCAACTACTCTGGAAGCCCTTCCAAAATTTTCTTCCAGCACATGAGGGTTTTTTGTTATAAAATTCCAATCGATGGGCACCAACGGCAATTTTGTTTCTATATGCCACGTGCCATATTTACGGTTATCCTCTAGTTTGGTAACATTTTTTCAGACAAAAGATTTTTAGTTAAAAGAACGGTATGGAAAACATAAATTCCGTACACAGCATGGAAACATTTACGTACGGAAACATCCCAGTTTAAATTTAACATTATTCTTATTGCTCTTTTCTGTAAAATTAAAATTCTATCTAAATTTTTCTTTGATGTTCCACCATAAACACTAATGCCAAATGATGTTGCAGATTCAATGAAAGCAAAATAAAGCTTTTTCAAAATATCTGTTGAGCAAAATTTTGACATTCTATAAATTGCATAAATTCCAGATGTGAATTTGCTGACCACATGGTCAACATGGGGGGTTCCATGAAAGATTTTCATCAACTACTAAGCCCAAAAATGCAGTAACTTGATTAAGATTCAAATTTTTTAAATTAGTTACTTGATCAATTGGATTTTTTCGTTTACCTGTTGAAAATACTATAAAGTTGGTTTTACTGGAATTTAAAAGTAATTGATGATAGTTAAAGAAATCATCTATTGTTTTTAGGCAATTAAAAGAGTTATATTCCAAACCGGAAACAGATATACTGCTTATTTTTAAACTTGCATCGTCTGCATATAAACTTATTTTATGAGATACATTGTATTGAAATGATCGGAGCATGCCTTTGATGTAACAAAGAAATAAAACAGGTCCTAAAATCGAACCCTGTGGAACCCCATGTTGAATAATAGATAACTGAGAGCAAGACGTTGACAACACGTTATATTTTAATTGCTTCATTTCAACATACTGAGATCTCTGAGTTAATAGGAACGAAACCACTTCAATGACCTGCTGTTGGCACCCAAATCTCGGATCTTCCTCAAAAGAAGCTGTTGTAAGACAGTGTCAAAGGACTTAGTCAGGTCCAAAAATATGCCTACCTACTGTTTTATCCCCTTTGTCCACCGAGTTTATTATTGAATCGATAAAATCTACTGCTGCGGTTACAACAGATCTACCTGGTCTAAATCCATGTTGTTTATTATCATGCAAATGTTTTCCTTCTAGATAAGTTACTAATTTGTTATAAACAACTTTTTCATATAATTTAGAAAATGATGAAAGTAAAGATAATGGTCGATAATTTGTTATATTTTTTGGATCTCCATTTTTATACAGAGGACTAACATTAGCAACTTTTAAATTTTCAGGGAAAATTCTACTCAAGAAAAAGGAATTTATTATATGAACAAGTGGTTTGACCAATTGTTTGCCAGCATATTTTAATACTGTCATAGGTATTTCATAATGTAAGACTAAATTACTTACGTAATTCCCATCACAGCTCAATAAAATATGTCTATTCAGGATATGTTTCGGTGTTAACATGTGCTGAATAGACATATTTTATTGAGCTGTGACGGGAATTACGTAAGTAATTTAGTCTTACATTATGTCCAACAGCTCAGGGGCTACACACATGGATTTAAATAGGTATTTCATCGTAACCGGTTGATAGTTTATTATCGAAAGAGTTTAGAATACTTAATATTTCATTATCACATACAGCATTCAATTTGAATTTAACCGTTGGAGGACACTAAAAGCTTGGACAGGCCTCACCCCCATGCAAACTATCATTTTGAGCTAACTGAGGAATAATTGATGAATTATTAACATAGCCATTAAAAAAGTCATTAAAAATACAACTTATCTCTTTAGGGTCTCTGCACAAGATTCCATCAAAATAAATTAAAATATTGCTAACATTTGTTTTGTTATTTAAGATTTCAGCATTAAGTAATTTCCAAGTAGCTTTACATACATTTTCAGCATTATTAACCTTATTAGCGTAAAACTGTCTTTTGGATTGGATAACTTTATTTCTGAACTCCTTATTTTAATCTCTTAACCTTATTATAAAGATCTTTAATATTACAAGCCCGAGCAGTCTTACTCAGACTAATAATAATGAGTATTACTTATGACAAATGTATACCCCCCCCCCCCCCCCCCATTACAAAACATTTTAGTGTTAGTAAATCTGATGATAGGTAGTATGACAAGACCATGATTAGTATAATTTACAGTTCATTATACTTCATATTAAAATAAATAATCAATGCAGGAATAGAATTTCTACTCCTTTATTTACAATGTATCAATAAATTGTTATTTTTCTACATGCCTAGATAGACAAATTGTAACTTTTCATTATATGAAATTGGAAATTTATGTATAACTGAGAATGTTTAACAATCTGTTAGTGACAAATAATTTAAGAAATATACATTAAACAATTTCATTTTAATGTGTATCATAAAACAATACAAAAAATGGCCACATAATTAATCACAAAATAAAAAATATACTTGGTTTATACAGCCTACAGCCTAGTAAAATGGTAAGTGTTTGAAATCAACAATTTATAAATAATTGTTTGGAAAGTTTTTTTTTCAAATAATACAGAGATACTGATGGATCTGTGTCTTATCATTCTCAAAGATTTGTCGAATTATAGTTCGTTAATAATACATGCTATAAGAGAAATAATTTTTATTCTAGTTCACAAAAAATACCTACTTACTTTATACATACCAAGTATGTATATTTTATTATTTACTGATGTGAGATGGAACATTTATGCAATGCTAAATCACTCGTCACAAACATATCAACATTCCAAAAAGTACAGGCTGTTCTGTCCATACATGTAGTTTGAAACAGTATTCTTATTCAATCAAGCCATCAATAGAGTTGCTGTAGTTAAAGATCTTTAAGTTAAATAAGACAAATTTATCATTACAACTATACTTGGCTACAAACAAATGTGTTAATAGCCTGAGTCACAAATGTTTTGTACATGAAGAAATGAGATATCACATAAGTGGCTTTAGACCAATACCTGAAGGACATAGATGACTGAGATAACTGTGTAATATATAAGACATCTTACATAATCATATATATATATATATATATACATATACATATATAATGAGCACAAGCAATAACAGTGGTCCCATAAGAATCTATTTTAGGCTTTGTTTTTCCCCACAAAATAATGACATCGTATTTGCTCAAGGATGACTTTGTGGCATTACTCACACTGTTCACCTAATCCACTACTTCTCAGAATGATCTCTACAAGAATGTTAAAGATACCTCAAGTCAGTGATATTACAAATTGTCAGAAAACTCTTCTACATACAAATATTCTAGATGAACAGTCAAGAAAATTATCCAATATGAAGAAAGAAAAGGCAAAAGCAGGTACTTTTAGAAAATTTACCATATAGGAAAGAAGCTATAGGTGGCACGGTAAGAGCTATGCCCAGGACTAATTAAAAACTTTTCTGTTTTGTTTTAATATCCCCAGAAGCCAATAATACCATTCTTTCAAATGTTTATATGTGTGTTTGTTTGGTTGTTAACACAATAACTTGAATAATTTCTTTTTCAGATTTTGAAGAAATTTGGCATAATGTCCAGGGCTGGATAAACACGAATGAGTTTGTGAACCAGCAAGAACAGGATTATTAATAGATATAGGGATAGGGTGTTATGGGGTTTTGACATTTTCTATCATGTTTTTTTTTTTCATTTTCACCCTTATCCCTTTTGATGCTAGAATTTTTTTGTAATTTTCGGAAAAAAACTAGAGTTATTTACTTATTTTGTCTGAAAAGTGCTAGACTTGCCATTGGGGCAAAGTCTAGTGTGCAAGAAAAAAAAATCGGTAAAAATAAAATTTTTCATCTCGAAAGTGCTAACGAACAATGTATTGTGCCTCGATCGTATGAGGAGTCGAAAGAAACCATCGCTGTTTTTAAACAACAAGCGAGTCAACCAATATACTCATTTAAACTCACACGATCAAAAGGCGCGCCAGGACAATATATCGTCGCTTAGCACTTTTTGTATATGTGAACAACAATATATCGTTCAATAGCACTTTTCGTGAAAAAGACGCACAACGATCGTCACATAGCACTGAAAGGGTTGAAACATTAAATAATCTGATATTGTAACATCTGAGTGACTAAAATGTGCTCAAGAGTATTGTGTAGCTTTCTAAGGAAACCTACTATTAGTGGGTTTCAATGGTAGTTTTAGTTTAAGGTACTGAAAGTTGAAGAAAACTTATTAGAAGTATATCACATTGACAAAGAGCATAATAAGTTGCACCATGAATGTTCTTTTTAAAGTAATGAATAAATGAATCCAATTCTTAAGAGAATTCCACTTTTTTAAAGATGTAGTCTAGAAACTAAGATTTACTGCTTAACTACTTTATAACACTATATCAGATTCAGTGCAAAGACATAATTTGAATACTAGTTTACACTTAAAAACTCTTTTATCAGGTCTACTAGAAACACTTTTCGCCTTTGAATAGTAATGGAATTTCAAGTTACAATTGTGTTTTGGAGTACCAATATTCCTAGCATTTGTTTTCAAATTGTCATCTGTGTGTTTATCTGAGTTCTGATCTAGTGAAGATTGTGATTCTTCCTGGTCCTCAACTTTTTGTTTAACTTTATATTTTCCAACACTTGCTTTTCCAGTCAATTCTTTTTTTTCTGATCTCTTCTTGTGTGTTTTTCTCCTGGTTGAACTCAGAGAAGAATTCATCTTCTGTGACATCAGTTCAGAATGTTTGCATAGCTTTTTGCTAGTGGTTTTAATAATTGATGGCTTACATCTGCATTTTTTGGTTTCCAATTTTATTTTTTTTATTTTACTCTCATCCACATGCTCCAGATAGATTTTATTATCTGTAGTTTTAGAGTCTGCTTCACCTGTAAGGCACAAATTAAATACAAAAAAATTAATTAAAAACACTGAAGAAAAATTATTGGCTACCAATGTACTATCTCTCTTTGAAGTTAAATGTAAGCCCAATTGTTTAAAATTTGATAGGAAAAACCTCTGTTAGCAGTGCATATCTAAAATGCCCCCGCCACAGCAAACCTACAGACTAAGCGAATTTCAATTTGTCCGATTACTTTTTTATTAAAATATTTCCATAAATAAGACATATTTATTCCCAATTTAAATATAGTGTATTAGTTCATATATTAATTCATGTATTTAGTAAATATATATATTAGTTCAAAAATAGTGTATGAGGTCCACTACATATGTTTCGCCATATATGGCATTCTCAAGTGGTTCAACAGAAACATTTTATCCAATTTGGACTCGTCAACATGTTAATTCAAATACGAAAATAGTCACATTATAACAACAAAATAAATAAACGAATAAAACATTTAAACATGTAGGCCTACAATACATAACCCGACCAACTGCACTGACTGAGACAGACTGGCAGGAAAACTATGAAGTCCCAGCTCCTTTGTTATCAGGGGTACAAAGGTTGACTTGTTTATGTCCAGAGCTATGTGAGATTATTGTATTGAATATTGCATGGGAACTGAAATTTAATTTTTCATTTAAGATATGTTGTTTGGTTTCTTCATCATTGTAGCTATTGTATATTTCGAACTGTTCTAAAGAATCTAGTTTGTTTCCTTTGTTGCTAATGTGTAGGATTTGCAAGCTATTTTCTACTTTATCAACAGAGTGATTTGTATCTATTAGGTGTTGGGCAAACTTTGATTTTTGTTTATTTGTTTTAGGGTCGGGGTGATGTTCCTTGAAACGCTGGGTAAAAGTTCTGCCTGTCTGTCCTATATAGAAGTTAGGGCAGTCCAAACAATGTATTTTGTACACTCCAGATTTTTCCAATTTATTATTATCTCTTGTGTTCCGGGATAGTGCCTGCTTGGTTTTATTTGTGGTCCTGAAAGTCAGATGGAGTCCGTGTTTTTTCATAATTCTGTTGAGACCGTTCTGGGCTGTGTGACTGTATTCAATACAAACAAATTTCTTCTTCTCAGGTTTTTCAGTTACGTTCATGTTTATGTTTTTATTTTGTATGTTATTTCTGAATTTTGAGACAATTTTGTCAATCATACTGTGTTTATAACCATTGGAGACAGCGATCTGTTTGATGATATTTAATTCTCTATTGTAATCTGTAGTTGAAAGAGGAAAATGAAGCATTCTGTTTACTAGGCTATTGTATGCAGCAAGTTTGTGGGAGATAGGGTGATAAGACGTTGCATGAATGGTTTGGTTCGAGGTAGTTGGCTTCCTGTATACACTGTAGCATAACCTGTTGTCCTTTTTCTCAATTGTAATATCCAAGAAGTTTATTTTGTTGGTAATTTCTGTCTCTATTGTGAACTTAAGTTTGGGAGCAATGCTATTTAAATAATTTAGAAGTAGATTTAACTGTCTGGTACTGCCGTTGAATAACATTATTGTATCATCAACGTAACGGTTATAAAGTATGATCTTGTCTTTAAATTTATTTGTATCAGAGAATATGAATTTATTTTCAATATAATTTAGGTAGATATCAGACAGAATCCCAGATAATGGAGAGCCCATAGCAAGACCATCTGGTTGGCTGTAAAAGTTGCCATCGAAGGTAAAATAATTTTGTTTTAAGACTTCCTTGAGTAGACTTAGTATTTCGTTAGCAGATTCGTTCAATAGGGCCGGGTTATTATACAAATGGGTTTTTATTATTTCCAGTACATCATTTATAGGCACATTTGTATATAGATTAACTACGTCAAAGGAGGCAAGAGTGTGATGCATTTGTATATTCATATTTTTTGTTTTGTCTATGAATTCATAGGAGTTCTTTAGGCTGTAATTATGGGGTAAAGTGATGTTTTCTCGGAGTAGTTTATCAAGTTTTTTGGAAATTTTATAAGTTGGTGCTGGAGTAAAGTCTACTAGTGGTCTGATGGGTGTACCTTCTTTATGTACTTTTGGTAAACCCCTAAAAATTGGTGCAGATGGGTTCATTACCTTTAAGTATTTTATTTCCTCTTGAGTGAAAATAGTTTTTGAGTCATTTATTAGTTTTTTAATTCTTCTCTGATAGGTTTTAGTAGGGTCTTTGTTAATTTTTAAAATGTTATTTTTGTCAAAAAATTCATGTATTTTTTCAAAATACGAGTTCTTGTATATTATTACAGTGGTGTTTCCCTTATCTGCCTTGCATAGGATTGCATCATGGCTAGCTAGTTTTTCTTTGATAGTTTGTAAGAGTCTGGTCTCTTCATTGTGTGTGCGGGAAAGGTCAGTGCTATTAGCTGATAAATCATTGGTGAGGGTTTTCTTAAATTTTTTAGACATGTTAAGACGTGTGAAATTCCTATCATCTTCATCTGGAATAGATTTGATTGCGCATTCAGCATTTATCAGTTCATTGAAAAAAGCTTTTTTACCTTTTCTTGGTAGATTATAATTTAGCCCTTTTTCTAATAAGTTTATTTCCTTTTCATCAAAAACTATCTTAGTGTTGTTGATAACTCTTGGAAAGAATTCAAAATCAAATAGTATGACAGTTTCTTTAGAGTGTTTATCACTCAACAGACGTGAAAGTTTTTTACTTTGAGTGGATTTTTTATTTCTAATTATTTTGGTGATACCAAAATCAATAGTTTGTAGGACGCTGTCCAGTTGGGCAGGATGTAGCGTGTTTGCTAGTTCTAGGTATTTCTTAAGTAACAAAGTATTAAGCATTTGTTTTTTGGAGTATAAATATTTTATTTCGTTTTTCAACCAAGTTTTCTCGGCTTGAGACTTTGTTTTCTGTGCTCGTATTTTGAAAAAATACATGAATTTTTTGACAAAAATAACATTTTAAAAATTAACAAAGACCCTACTAAAACCTATCAGAGAAGAATTAAAAAACTAATAAATGACTCAAAAACTATTTTCACTCAAGAGGAAATAAAATACTTAAAGGTAATGAACCCATCTGCACCAATTTTTAGGGGTTTACCAAAAGTACATAAAGAAGGTACACCCATCAGACCACTAGTAGACTTTACTCCAGCACCAACTTATAAAATTTCCAAAAAACTTGATAAACTACTCCGAGAAAACATCACTTTACCCCATAATTACAGCCTAAAGAACTCCTATGAATTCATAGACAAAACAAAAAATATGAATATACAAATGCATCACACTCTTGCCTCCTTTGACGTAGTTAATCTATATACAAATGTGCCTATAAATGATGTACTGGAAATAATAAAAACCCATTTGTATAATAACCCGGCCCTATTGAACGAATCTGCTAACGAAATACTAAGTCTACTCAAGGAAGTCTTAAAACAAAATTATTTTACCTTCGATGGCAACTTTTACAGCCAACCAGATGGTCTTGCTATGGGCTCTCCATTATCTGGGATTCTGTCTGATATCTACCTAAATTATATTGAAAATAAATTCATATTCTCTGATACAAATAAATTTAAAGACAAGATCATACTTTATAACCGTTACGTTGATGATACAATAATGTTATTCAACGGCAGTACCAGACAGTTAAATCTACTTCTAAATTATTTAAATAGCATTGCTCCCAAACTTAAGTTCACAATAGAGACAGAAATTACCAACAAAATAAACTTCTTGGATATTACAATTGAGAAAAAGGACAACAGGTTATGCTACAGTGTATACAGGAAGCCAACTACCTCGAACCAAACCATTCATGCAACGTCTTATCACCCTATCTCCCACAAACTTGCTGCATACAATAGCCTAGTAAACAGAATGCTTCATTTTCCTCTTTCAACTACAGATTACAATAGAGAATTAAATATCATCAAACAGATCGCTGTCTCCAATGGTTATAAACACAGTATGATTGACAAAATTGTCTCAAAATTCAGAAATAACATACAAAATAAAAACATAAACATGAACGTAACTGAAAAACCTGAGAAGAAGAAATTTGTTTGTATTGAATACAGTCACACAGCCCAGAACGGTCTCAACAGAATTATGAAAAAACACGGACTCCATCTGACTTTCAGGACCACAAATAAAACCAAGCAGGCACTATCCCGGAACACAAGAGATAATAATAAATTGGAAAAATCTGGAGTGTACAAAATACATTGTTTGGACTGCCCTAACTTCTATATAGGACAGACAGGCAGAACTTTTACCCAGCGTTTCAAGGAACATCACCCCGACCCTAAAACAAATAAACAAAAATCAAAGTTTGCCCAACACCTAATAGATACAAATCACTCTGTTGATAAAGTAGAAAATAGCTTGCAAATCCTACACATTAGCAACAAAGGAAACAAACTAGATTCTTTAGAACAGTTCGAAATATACAATAGCTACAATGATGAAGAAACCAAACAACATATCTTAAATGAAAAATTAAATTTCAGTTCCCATGCAATATTCAATACAATAATCTCACATAGCTCTGGACATAAACAAGTCAACCTTTGTACCCCTGATAACAAAGGAGCTGGGACTTCATAGTTTTCCTGCCAGTCTGTCTCAGTCAGTGCAGTTGGTCGGGTTATGTATTGTAGGCCTACATGTTTAAATGTTTTATTCGTTTATTTATTTTGTTGTTATAATGTGACTATTTTCGTATTTGAATTAACATGTTGACGAGTCCAAATTGGATAAAATGTTTCTGTTGAACCACTTGAGAATGCCATATATGGCGAAACATATGTAGTGGACCTCATACACTATTTTTGAACTGCAAGACGAGGTACGTAAAGTTTAGTCTATACTACGCAGTTCAGGGGCTACAAAATGGAATTTAATTGGATTTTTAGTTTGAGACGAGACGAGGCGAGACGGGATTTCCCATTTCATATATACAGTAACAGGAAATGCACGTTCCACATTTTAACCTAATTTTTAAAACATTTTTAAATACCTACTG